CTCCCAGGGGAGTAGAGGAGGATGAGGAAGAATCGGAGCCGAACCGCGAAGCGCGAAGCGCGAAGAACTTCGCGCCCTCGAGGGCGCCCTTGTCCTCCGAAGGGCCCATGGGGGACGTTTTCTTTTCGGGCGCCCCGTGGCTCAGGAGAGAGGAGGACAGCAGCAGGGGGGGGGGAGAACAAGACGAGGAGCAACAGCAGCAGCAAGCAGTGCAAGCAGGCGCGGCCAGCGGCCGCCACCTGGCACCACGGCCTTGCAGGGTGCCGCTCCGGCGCCTGGCGCTGAGCGCCCAGCAGCCCGGGCCCAGGAGGACACAAACAAGTCGAGCGCCATCGAATGTGTTCGACACCTCGCGCCCTCTCCTCGCAGCCCTGCTCGCGAAATGAAGGACGATGCTCGAGCCCGACTCGAGATGCCAACAAGCGCACCCACAGCACATGCCCGCCAGCTTGAGTGATGGCGGCCTCTGCTCGGCTACACGCAAGAGCGGCTCTAATCAAGAGTGAACTTCGGTGCGCGGCTCAACGGGGAACACAGACAAATCGACACACGCCAACTCTAGGATTGCCAAAACAGCCTTCCAGATGTCCCTGATCAGCCTTTGACCGACCACTGTCCCCATGGGCGTGGCCTGGGCCCCACTATAGCCGATTAACCCCCGGGGTGGCTCCCGCCTCAGATGGAATGGGCCCAGAGGTTCAACAGAGCCCCCCCCCCAACTGGAGTGGGGGGGGTGACGACGCCGACGCCGATGCCGACGCCGACGACGACGCCGAGAACGACGAAGACGACGAGGACGACGACGACAAACGACCGACGACCGACGACCGACGACCGACGACCGACGACCGACGACCGACGACGACGCCGCCGACGACGACGATGCCGACGCCGACCGCCGACGCAGACGCCGACACCGCCAACGCCAACGCCGAAGCCGACGCCGACGCCGACGCAGACACCGACGCCAACGCCGCTGACGCCGACGGAGGAGGAAGATGACGACGACGACGACGAAAGCGGCGGCGGCCACGACGACGGCGAAGATCGACGAGATCAACGACGACGACGACGACGGCGAGCGGCGGCGACGAGCGGCGAGGGGCTAAGCAAGGGGCCGAACTCTAGACACCGACGCTTTGTCCGGCACCGCACTGGAATTCGCACAGGAGAGCGGATCCAGGTGTATACGGGATCCTGGTGTATGCATTTTCACTGTTCCCCGGGAAAACGGGGAAACAAAGTATACACCACACCACCCCGACGTCGTCCTCGACCCTCAAAAATCCTGAGCGGTGGCACCGAGTGCCTCCCGGGAGGCCCCAAAGGGGGGAAACGGGGGACGGTTAGAGGTATGGGTACCTTTTCCTCCTCTGAGAAGCGGAGGCCACACTTTTCCCGCCGGACTCCTCGCGCCCGCGCGGCGTGCTATATTCAGAGCCTCTACATGCGGAGCCGACGCTCTGGGACCCCAGCAGGCGGTGGATAGAGACATCTGGGCCCCAGAGGACCCGGCCATCACAGTCTCCACCGCCTGTCGCTTTGGACGCCCGACAATGCCCAACAACAAATGTTGTCCCAAACCAGCAGCGGCCGCTGTTGGGCAGGCGGCCTTCTGTCTCGAATGGACACAGGCCGCGGCGGCGCGGACAGCGAATCCTGTTCAAGACGAACAGGAACTGCTGTTGGGCATTGTACCCAATCTTGAAGGGGCCCCAGGACACACAAATACAGACACACAAATCAAAAGGATTCCCCATATTTTCCCATATGTTCTGGGTTTCTGTCTTCCCCCCCCCTTCCAATATTTTCCCATATTTTCCTGGGGGTAGACGATTAATTATGTCTGTGTGTTTTTCCCTCCTGAATTCTTTCCGTACCCATTTCGGGCGTCCAGGATAGATACACCTGGGCCCCAGAGGACCCGACCATCGCAATCCCCACCGCAGGTCGCGGCCTCCTGGCTGAACAAATAGCCTCCCGGCGGCGGCCATGAACCATTCCCCGCCTCGGACGTCGGAGCCCGTGCGTGCCTTCCCGCCTGGCTCCTCGCGGCCGCGCGGCGTGCTCGCCGTGCCGCGCGGCAGCCAGGAGCCAGGCGGCAAACAACTACCCAAACAGAAACTACGACATAAACGGCAGAAGAAAACACCACTGAATAAACTGAGCTGCGTCGCCGGTAAGAAGAAGACACAACTACACAAACGTAAACTTTTGGCGCTCCGCGCGGACCTCTCAAATCTGCGCCGGACCCCCCTCCCAGGCACGCGGAGCGCGCCAGGGGCGGCGCCGAAGGC